ATCCCCTTACTGGCGAGCTTCGATCTTTTCAAGAACTAGCCGGTCGAGCGAGAAAAGATGTCAAAGTGGCCGAAGTAAAGGTTGCAGTTTGCTTGTTCCTCTTTGATATGATGAAGCTGAATGGCAAGGTATGGGCCCAATCTCCACAAAAAGTCGAATGGATATTGAAGCGATGATAGCCTCTGATTCAATCATCTTTCCGGGAACGACGTCGTCTACTTCGCTTACATTTGCCGCCCCTCAAGCCCAAGATTGAGAATGGAAATTCTGTCTCAAAACACGTCATGGCCACTCTTGACCACGTTGAAAGCGTTGAAGCAGATGAAGGGCGCGAAGTGGTGGAAGAGTTTTGGGAGAAAGCTATAGAGAGTAAATGTGAAGGACTTATGATAAAGGTTCGTCCTTCACATATATCAGAAGTTCACGAGACCGACACCTTTATAGTTGTTGGATGATACGGAAGTCCTTGTTGATGAGGATGAGTATATAGTTGACGAGGATGAGAAGATTCAAGAAACTCCGCGAAAGAATAAAAAGAAGGGTAATGGGGCTCGACGAAAGGCATTACCGGCTACTTACGAGCCAGGTGGGTTGGATTCATGACCAAAGAGCGCCACTGAATTCATAATTAGACAAGAGGACGTCTGCATGGCTCAAGTTAAAAAAGGACTATGTCGAAGGTGTCGGAGACAGCCTTGATCTTGTTCCAGTTGGTGCATGGCATGGACAAGGCCGTAAAGCGAGTTGGTGGAGTCCTGTACTCCTCGCTGTGTATGACAAAGAACGAGATTTGTTCGTTGCTCTTTGTAAATGCATGTCAGGTATGTGGTATATATTTTGTCCAAGGGCGTGTCTAATCACCTAATACAGGCTTTACGGATGCTTTCTACAAGGAGCTGAATGCTCGTTATCCTGAGGGATCAGAAACGTGTACAAAGACTCCTCAGTGGAATGTCGAAACAGGAGGTTCGTAAGCTAAGAATCGTTTCGCCATTATCTGACTTACCGAAGGCTATTATCCTTCTGTATACTTTAAACCTTCTGAGGTTTGGGAATTAAGAGGAGCGGAGTGAGTATTTATTTTGATCAGTTCGAGGTAGACGGCTGATACACAAACTCCAGTCTCACCATAAGCCCAACCTCCGTGACTGCTTTGGGCATGATTCCTCAAGCTCGTGAGAAGGGTCTAAGCTTGCGTTTTCCTCGGTTTATGCGACTACGCCCGGACAAGAGCATCGAGATGGCGAGTACGCCAGGGTATGTCGTCCAACTTTGGGTGTCGCAGGAAAAGAAGGGTCAAACTGCGAATGAGGGTGTAGAAGATGATGGTTTACTTGATTATGTTGAAGAGGAAGAAGTAGTAGAAGACGAGTACGAGAGTGACGATAATTCGCTTAAAGAATAGAGTTTCCCTTTTTGGACGGCGTTTACTTCATGACGTCTTCATCAACGTCGGTTTCCGACCACAATGTTGCCCAGCTTATTGCCATTTGAGCGGCTGCATGTAACCGTTCTAGTTATTGCATGCTATTTGGCAGTAATCATTTCCACGGTTGTCGTGCAGGAGAGACTTCCGCGTGCCCCTTCACGTCGGGGAAAACCTGGCTTGAATCTCGATGAGGCATGGTCAGACCTGCAAGAGGTAAGAACTCGGGATTACAAAGCCTATAATATGGTAGATAGCTTACCTTGTCGCATCTTCATTCAGATTGCACAAGTTCCTCACCCGTTCAATTCCCACACCAATGACGAAGTTGGACTCTACATTGCAGGCAGACTGCAAAACATTCAAGGAGAGAACGATTTTATAACACTTGACCTGAAACCAACTACAAACGCGTCATGGTATATGCCCCAAGACTCTTCCGTCACATACGTAGAAAGTCGTAATCTGGCTATCAAGTTTGAAGGATCCAAGTATAACGACTCTGCTATCTTACTTACTGCACACTATGACACGTCCGCATTAGCACCTGGTAAGCACATTTCAGTCGTGTTCCTGCTGTGAAATGACGTCGTTCCAGGAGCCACAGACGATTCCATCGCCGTTGCCTCGTTGTTACAGACGGCAGATTATCTAGCAAATAACCAGCCAGAACGCACAATAATAATTCTATTTGACAATGGAGAAGAGAATGGTCGACATGGTTCACGAATGTACGTGCCCACAGCACAGTAGAGTATTGGTCGTCTGACTGTTGTGATAGCTTCCTCCGTCACCCGTGGTTCAAGTCAGTAAGGTCTTTTATCAATCTTGAAGGAGCAGGTTGTGGCGGACGGCCTAATTTGTTCCGCGCCTCCTCTCCCCAAATCACGAGAGCGTTCGCTTCCACGACCCATCCTCACGGTTCCAGTCTCGCTTCGGATGCATTTTCTCTCGGGCTCATTCGTTCCGCAACCGACTTCTCTATATATCAAGATGCAGGAATCGCGGGTGCGGACTATGCATTTTATATGAGAAGGCAAAAGTACCATACGATGGAGGATAACATTCCCAACCTCCGTAACCGACGGTCTCTATGGTCCATGATGGAGAATCTTTACTATGTAGTGGAAGTTATTGCGAACCAACCTGACTCTCAGGAGTCAGATGCTACCCGATTCGTCTACTTTGACAGTGAGTCCGGCCTTTCAGGCTATTTCCCTAGTCTGACAGCGAGCAATAGTTTTCGGTGAAACCATGTTTTATATGCGCTTCGACCTCTTTATTGTCATGAATGTTCTACTTGTCGTCCTCGGACCAGTGTTTGTCATACTCTTAGGACACTCCCTACACAAGAGCAAGAAACTCTATCTGGGATGGAGAGGATGGGGTAGATTCCCTGCAGCACTTGCCATAGGCATTTTGGGTGGCGCCATCTGTGCTGGATTAATCACCGAGTGGAATCCTATGGTAGGTCAGTTTAAATAACCAGTGCACCCATCTCATCTTCCTTCCAGGTGATAAATAACGCACCTTACTGGGTTGTAGCGTCTATATTCTGCTTCGCCGCATTAGGTCTTCTTCTCCCACTCTACCTTGCTGATTGGTGGAGGCCAGTCTCCATCCAGCGAGCGCAAGTGCTTGTCGAGTTGCTTGTATTCTGGTGGGTCTTATCTGCGATAAATCTCGTCTTGATGGGCCGTAATGCACTCTCTGGTGCCTATTTCATTACCTTCTTCTACGCGGCTACTCTTGCAACAACCATCGTCACGCTCTTGGACATGCATAGGCTCAATCGCAAGGTACCTATCCCCGATACCGGACATGAAGAAGAAGAGGAAGAAGAAGCTATACCTAGCAACGGTCGGCCTCGAGATGTAGAGTCAGCTACCGAGGTGACTCCACTCATACCACGAGCAGAAGAGCTGTTGGCGACTCACAGGCTAGGAGACGACCAGCTCGGCTGGATCTGGACTCTAGAGTTTATCCTACTTGCCGTCTTCCCCGCCATCCTTATGCTGCAAATCTTGTTTGCGCTACTAGCCGCACTAGGGCCAACAGTCACTGATGGTTCCAAGCCTTCGATGGGTATGTACGGTTAACTCTTCGTTGCCTGAGAATGCTTACACGTTTCAGTTTATATCATCATCACCGGCTCGATATTGTTAACCTTGCTACCAATCACTCCTTTCGCACACAAACTACACCCAAGCGTTTTCGCAGCACTTCTCCTCCTTGGAATCGCAACTACAGCCTACAGTAGCCTAGAATTTCCATTCACACCGGAAAATTCCTTCAAAACGCTATACTGGCAATCAGCTGATCTTAACGCGGGGAACAGCACTATCACACTCCTAGGGGTCCGCCCTTATCTACAGCGAGTACTCAAGCAAGTGGGCTCCATAGACTATGATAAAGTTGAGTGGAGGAAAGCGAATATATCGGGGTTAGCAGAGGCCAAATTTACGGGTCTCGTGCCTCGCTCTGTTCCAGACGAAAAAATGTCCAATTGGGTCAATGTGACGCTAGAGAGGTCAAGTCCTTCCAGTGTACTTTTGCGTATATCTGGTGTCGATACCAGAGCATGTCGACTCTACTTTGATGGAGGGTACAACGTCTCTCAAGTTGTCGTTCGCGGGCAAAATACCGACGGGTATGATCTCCCCTCGTCCTTCCCCATCAAAACAGTGAACTTGTGGAGTCGAAGCTGGAGCCGTACCTGGGAAGTGGACATAGAGCTCGCGGCATTGGGATCGTCTGAGACTCCCTCCAATGCAAACGTCTTAACTGGTAGAGCCTCATGCGTGTGGTCGGACCGAGCAAAAGGGAAAGTCCCTGCACTTGATGATTTGTACGTACGCTTCCCTACATGGGCCACAATGACAGCGTGGCGTGGAGGATTGGTGGAAGGGTGGAAATCTTTCAGCATATGAAAAATTATCATCTGTAAACTTAGTAATTTGTATTGTAACACGTTTATCAGCTGTCATGATTAGCCGAGAACATGGTTAAGTCATTCAATCATCAGGGTTGGTTCTTCAAAAGTCACCCGTAGGCGATGTGGTGGATGATGAGCATGATATTCACCTCAAGATCATGGTAGACTACCTCATCGAGGTGGCTGTCACAAGACAGGTAGATTTTGAAATGCTGGATACTCTGCCAAAATCATCGCCGGCCCTTCTTGCCTCCTCCTCCCTTTCCACCTCCCTTTCCACCTTGCTTCGCACCACCAGCTTTTGCACCTTGCTTGTCACCAGCTTTCCCTGCAGTAGCTGTTTCGGCATCTTCAGTGGCATCGGCAGGCAGGAGTGGTGTCTCCCACTCCATCAGCCAAGCCGCCTTGGGCTCAATCTTTTTGTAGTATTCATCAATCACGCTGACTTCTTTGAACCCATTTCGCTCGTAGAATCGCTTTGCCGCTTCGTTAGAGATTTGGACGTGTAGGTATAGTGAAGTCAGGTGAGGCTTGGTCGATGGGGAAGATGCAGTTTCTAATAGATGCTTGATCGCATATGTTCCTAGTCCTAGAGAACGGTACGGTGCAAGAACACCCATGGTCATGATGTAAAGTTTGGACTTTTTGGCTGCTTCGTCGGTCTCGATGCGCGAACATACAGCGCCCACAGGGATATCATTATAATAAACTGAAAATCGAAAACGAAAACAGTTATGTGAGGTTCCTATAAATCGGCGGACGACTGGGCGAAATCTCTTACTCAGTTTGCAATATTCTTCAACCTCGGACTTGAGCACATCTGCATAGAATCTCTCTGTGTATACAACTGGTAGAATCACAGAACTGAAATGGAGGGAATAGGGTGTCAGAAGCTGACATCATTGTAAATAAAGGGGACGTACAGAAGTTTTCGTAGGGTCCCAACATTGTTCTTGTTCACAGATGACAATGAAATACGCGAATGTTTCCTAGTTGCTACGCCCGTTTCTGCATCTTGAGTCGACGTCGCCATTCGGTGATACCTGTACTGTGGTGGGGGGAGAGGTCGAGAAATGAAATGTTGGGTGTGGACGCCACAACATTGGTCTGAACGATGGCCATCCAGTGTCATGTCTTAGAACCCGAAGAATAAATATGAAAAATAATGATCATTATGCGAGGATCTGCGACGATTTGTGCACGAGATTTTATGAATACAAGTGTACTAGGATACAATGTGCAAGAATGGAGGGTCGTCAGCTCGAGCTCTCCGCTCGTTGGCAACTAAATAAGATTAACCATTACCCATGAGATTCGAATCAATGTATACCAAACGTGATGGTGCAGGAAAAGAGTGCCATGAACCCAATGAAACAATTAATAAAAGTCATTGTATGGTTGGTGCGTGTCGTTTATGGGTGATTCGTGTTCCATGCATCTGCTTCATCAAGAGGGTTTAGGGAGACAGCTGCGGCAGAGAGTCTCACGTCATTCTCGATACCAGCTGGTTGATAGTCTCTCCAGAGTGGTAGCCCTGGTGCGAGCTATCTCCCAGACATCCTCTCCAAACAGTCCTTGGCTATCAAAGTAGACTAGCCTCTCGTCCTGTTGATTAAGGTCTGA